CCTAGAGGTCACCCAGCCCAACCCCCCTGCAGGAGCAGGGACACCTTGAACCACATCAGGTTGCTCACAGCCCCATCCAACCTGGCCTGGAATGTTCCCAGGGATGGGGCCTCCACCCCCTCTCTGGGCAACCCCTGCCAGGCTTTCACCACCCTCACGGCAAAGAATTTCTTCCTTAGATCCAGTCTAAACCTCCCCTGCTTCCGTTTAAAGCCATCCCCCCTTGTCCTGTCCCAGCTGGCCCTACTAAAAAGCTTGTCCCCCCCTTTCCTCTGGGCCCCCTTGAAGCCCTGACCGGCCACACTCAGCTCTGCCCGCAGCCTTCTCTTCTCCAGGCTGAACACCCCCAACTCTCCCAGCCTGTCCATCCAGGGAAGCAATGCTTTGCATTTTGCAGGATGGCTCCTTGCCCGTGCTGGGGGTCCTGCAGGCAACCCCACCCCCCCAGGGTGCCCCCATCTGGGATGAAGCAGTGGGGAGGGTCCCATCGGGGCTTGGGGGGTCTCGGCTGCTTGCCTCCATCCTTGCCCTGCAGCGTTTTGGGAGGTGGCAGATCTGTGCCCGCACGGCACGGGGCGGAGGGGAGCTGGGAGTTGGCGGGCGTTGTGTCAGCCCCGTTTGAGCAATCCCTTGCTAAACCATCTCCAGGTCTGATCCTTATCTACGTGCTCTGAGGTGGCGGTGATGCAACTCCCCAGGCACAGGGGGGGGACGTGCCAGCGAGGACCTGGCCTGATTTCACAGCCAAACGAGACCTCTCCCTGCTTCCGATCCCGCTAGCCAGGCAGTTCCCAGCCATTTTGCCGAGGGTTTCTGCTACCTTGCAGCCCAGCCACGTCCCGTGTAAGGATCTGAAATCCCTTTGCACCAAACGAGCATCCCCAGCCCAGCACTTTTGGCATGCCCGAACACACTGTTAGTGCTGCAAATGCATCCATAGCCCCGGGAAAGCCCCTCAGGGCATGGCACAGGGCCGGGAGCGAGGACACGGCTGCTCCTTACCCAACGAGACCCGCTCCTCGGGGCTCAGGGCGATGGCCAAGTGAGCCGGCTGCTCGTACAGGCGGAGCTGGTAGCGGTGGTACCCGCTGCGGGGCGGGGGCGTGGGCCGGACGTAATCTGGGGATGCAAAATATAACGGGGGGAGCATCCCACCCAGCGGGACCTGCTTCCCACCATAACCACGTACCCATCACCCCTCTTCCAGCCTGGGATCGGTTCTCCCACCCACATCAAGCACTGAAGCCCCTCGCCACGTGTGGGGCTGGGGGGAGAAAGCTCTCAGCAGCCCAGGTGTTGCATGGGCAAGAGCAGCCGCTGTGCCCCCCCCAAACCTGCCCCCCTCCCCTATAACCAACCAGATCCCCCCCCCTTGCTGTG